TATAGCCTTTTACTGTACATGTAGTTATATTTATGTATATCTATTGAATAAACCATAAATAAGCCATAGATATCTACGTTAGGAAAGGACAATTGACCCGCTAATGCAACCCTTTGGCTCATTTTTAAGCATAAACCATTAGAATTAATACAACAATTCACTTGGTTATGGTTCAAATCACTTAGAATTAGCTTAAGCACCGAAGAATTTAAAGCGATGGGCTTATGCTTTGAACATCACATACACATTTCAACAAGACAATCCTCGATAAGTATACATTATCGTCGAGATTATAGCTCTCCAACAACCGATAAAGCTAATAATTTGGTCATCTTTTTGTTGTTTGGTATTGGTGAGATCCATCATGCCAACAGTTAGATTCGAGCTGCAAAAGTGATTTAGGGAATCATTTTCGTGAATAGCTTTCAATTGCCAATAGACTGAGTCTCTAAGTGGGTAAACCAGTCAAAATTCGTTCCATTTCATTTCAGTATTCAAAAATTTTGCTAAGCAATAGGCCATTTCACATTTTAATATTCTTCCGAGCTAGAAAAAGAGTAACGAAGATCCTCATCGATTGGAGAGGAGAACGGAACATTCTTTATAAGAGTATGAATACCTTTTCTTAAGCTTTAAAAACTTTGAAAGAAAGGCCAAATAGGACAATATCTATTAGCGATAAGCTTGGGTAGCTACAAATGGTATCAGAGACAGACACCAGATGATATGCCGGTGAGTAGGCTCAATCTCGAAGGGAGGTGGATTGGGGGGTCCCACATCGATTGGAGAAGAGAACAAGTGTGGGCGAGGACGCTAGCCTCAAAGGGGGTAGATTGTGAGATCCCACATCAATTGCAGAACGGACGATGTGCCGGAGAGGAGGCTGGGTCCCAAAGGACGTGGATTAGGGAGTCCCATATCGATTGAAGAAGAGAACGAGTGCCAGCGTCCACTGACACTCGTTCTCTTGTCCAATTGGTGTGGGAGGGGGGGGGGGGGCGAATTGTGAGATCCCACATCGGTTGGAAAACGGACAATGTGCTAGCGATGGGACTGCATTCTGAAGGGGGGTGGATTAGGAGGTCCTACATCGATTGGAAAAGAGAACGAGTACCAGTGGGGACGTTGAGCTTCGAAGGGAAGTGGATTGTGAGATCTCACATCGGTTGGGGAGCCTAGCATATGCGTTTTAATATGTTGAGGGGAAGCTCGAAAGAAAAACCCAAAAGAAGACAATATCTGTGAGCGGTGGGCTTGAGCCGTTACAAGTAATATCTCGTTGATTTTAGATAGACATTATCAGGTTACCAATCCTTTGAGTATATCGCATGAAATACGAGGTTGAACTCTAAGTAGTCCACCATATTGAGTTTGAATTGAGTTTCTTATCATATGGGGAAAAGTTAAGCAATTAGTGAGGAATCAAATGGAGTATCATATTAGGACGGATTTTCTCGTACAAAAGTCATTCCTTTATCATTGTCTTTGATGATAGTGGCTCTACTCGATTGAGTAGCATCTCAACTTTCAATCTCTCATTGTTGATCACCTTTAGAAACATGATTTTTTTTTTTTTTTTTTTTTTTTTTTTTTTTTTTTTTTTTTTTTTTTTTTTTTTTGTAGTGCTTGTATTAGCTATCATGGGGGACAACACATCAAGATTTGGTGTTTAGGTGAATTGATTCCAAGAGGGTATATTTGGTTGAAAGTGAAACTCTTTTGTGGTAAATACTTGCCCTCTTTATTAAGACAAATCAAGAACAAATTATAATACACTTTTTTCGAATGCTACTCACGGTACTTTTCTTGTATGCAAATTTAGTGGGGGTAGAGAAGTATTGGTAATACAAATAGATAACGTGGATCACTCATTTATCTTCTTCGACATTATTTCTAAAATGTCTAGATATTTAAATTTTCATAGATAATAGTTTCATATTAGGCTAAATAGTCTTCTTGATAATTGGACTCTTACCATTAGTGGACTTGATTCAATTGGGCTATGATCTTTAATTGTGATATTTTTATATTATTCAAATAGTCAATTGCACTTGCTTGTATGTGACTATGTAACAAAAGAAAAATAAATAAATAAAAGAAATAATAAAAATGTGGTCATTACATTGCCAAGGAAAAAAAAAAAATTAGAATCTCTAATATAAGGAGGTCCATAGTTGATTGAGTCATAACAATTGCTTCGTTTTATCCTATTTTGGCGATTCAGAACTAGTTGGAGAATTCATGTTCTGATGGCTCTAGCTCGACCTCTATGCTGACCTAGCTCGAATTTGATATTTTCGAACCCTTTAATGATCGGTTTATCTGGCTAGAGTCTAATATGCTTAGACCCTTTACTACAATTTTTAGTCAATCGGAGTCATTTTTTGATACTTGTGGAGGCATTTAATGTAACGACCCTAACTTTTTACTGAAATAGAGTTGCTACCATATGCATAACATAACCTTTTTATGCGGTCATTTAAAATAATTTCATAAAGCGATGACATGCACGTACACATTTGCATATAAATCTTAAGATAAAACAATGAAAAATATTCAATACAAAATAAAATAAAATCAAAGAAAAGATTAAAAACAATGTCCAATGCAACTAACCTAACTCAGGTTCTATGATCTTTAGCACAACGCAACCGTCAACCATTCCAAGGTTCTATGATCTTTAGCACAATGCAATCGTCAACCATACAATGGTACCTTATCTTTACCTGAAATAGGTGAAGTATAAGAGTAGCACAAGACTTGAACTAGTCAAATGATACATGATATTGGAGAAAATTCATCAAAATTTTAGTATCTCATTTGTATAATATATTATCTAGGACTGATATTTGTGAGGAAGATACTTGATTGTTGCTATCATGGAAAGAGTACCTAAAAGTTTTAGGACAGATATTTGTACACAAACATCGAAATAAACCCTACAAAGAACGAACGTTGGGTTTCTAAATCTCCAAAATTCTAACTGATCAAAGTTGGGATAAACTTTGTCCAAACATCAAGAAGAATTCTTGTAATGACAAATTCATTGAGCTTACAGATCAAAGTTTGGACAAACATTGGACCAAACATCGAGATGAGTAGAGGAAATTACGAACTTTAGGTTTCAATCCTCCGTAACTCCAATTAGTTGAAGTTTAGACGAACTTTGGTCCAAACATTATGGTTTTAACATACTTTGGTACAAACATCAAGACAAACTCTAGTACGATAGAATTCTACCATGTCCAAGTTTTATCGAACTTTTGTACAAACATTGTGCTCTAGAAAGGACCAATTTTGAGTTTCTAACCTTTTAAAGACTTAATGGATCCAAATTTAGACAATTTTTTGTAAAAAGAATGTCGGGATGAAGTCTTAAAATGACAACTTTAGATTCTTAGAGGCTCTAACATCTCAATTCTCACCTCATTTTGACTATAATAACATAAAATCTGAAATCCAAACACAAAATTAAAGATATCTTTGTTTTTCCAATGGGATTTCACATGAGTTGTTGAAATGTTTTCAAATTTAAGAACTAACTAATGGTAGAGATGTGGAAATTGGTGTCCTCCACAAGAAAGCTATCTTTGTCCAATGAGAGAAGTTGTGAGACTCAAAAGGCACAACATCATGTTCTTATGCTTTCACTTTGTGTCTAAATTGAGATCTTTTGTGACTGCTCAAGCTCGTTACTAGCAGATATTGTCATCTTTCTTTCAAGGCTTTCAAATGCTTCTGCTAGTGAGAGATTTCCAGACCCTTATAAAAAATATTTATGATATAGAATCACTACAAGGAGAGTAAGATTTAGATTACCTTGTTCCACACCCTTATCCAGCGTTCTTGTTGGCACACCGCCTCCTGTCCACCCCCTTTGGGGCTTGGCCACTTCACTGGTACATCGCCCGATGTCTGAATCTGATACCATTTGTAACAGCCCAAGCCCACCGCTAAAAGATGTTATCTTCTTTGGGCTTTCCCTCAAGGCTTTAAAACGCGTCTACTAGGGAGAAGTTTCCACACCCTTAGAAAGGATGCTTTGTTCTCCTCTCCAACCGATATGAGATCTCATAATTTACCCCCCTTTGAGAGCCAGCGTCCTTGCTAACCCTCATTCCCTTCTCTAATCAATGTGGGATCACCAATCCACCCCTTCGGGACCCAACGTTCTTGCTGGCACACTGCCTCATGTCCACCCCCTTTCAGGGTGTTGGCACATCGCCCGACCTCTAGCTCTGATACCATTTGTAAAAGTTCAAGTCCACTGCTAGCAAATATCGTCCTCTTTGAGTTTTCCCTTTCGTGCTTCCCCTCAAAGTTTTTAAAACACGTTTGGTTGGGAGAGGATTCCACACCCTTACAAATGATGTTTCGTTCTCCTCCCTAACCAATGTGGGATCTCACACATTCAACAAAATTGCACGAGTGAGAGTCAAAAGGAATAGATTCTCACAATGAACAATCTTTAGGTCATAGCATTGTGGATGTAGATTGGAACAACTGAAAAAAAAAAAAAAAATCAAAATTGGTTATTTCCTCTCCCTCGAATTTACGAAATTTCCCCCATCTTTGGCCCATCTCTCCCTCAAAGCTTGACCATTTACAGACCTTCCTCTCTCTTGGTTAAGCACTTGTAACTCCCAAAACTTTTCAAAAACAATTTCTCCACTCACTGATGATAGTAGTTGCGCTCTCACAGCACACCACAAGATTTCAGTGAGTTCCCATCTCAATCCCAATCGTGCAGTTATCGTCGATAGTGGTACACTATTCGACTACATGAATTTTGAAGATTCACTGTTGAGACGGTTGATAAGTAAACTTAACTTACATGGAAAGATTTTAAAAATAAAGTCCATTGTATTGTATACATTTTAGAGATAGATTTATATGTATTAGATTATTCATGAATTATGTTCCAAAAGGCCTCTATAAAGAGGCTAGGTAAAGATTTCAAAACAACTCAATTTAAGAAGTGAAAGCATCTCTTGCTTGAGTAGAAGGTAGATTTAAAAGTTTAGAGAATTTCACCCCTCTTCCATAAAATTTTATGTTGCTCCAACAAAATGGTATCAGAGTCAAAAATGCCAAGGAAAGATGTGGGTGGTACAAGTTGGGTGATGTACCGCTGCACATCTACTGAAGTCGAACTACAACAACTGCAATATTCAGATGCAAGCCTTACTCCCAGCACAAGATGTGTGGGTAGTGGTTGTGGACGGTTACACCAAATCGAAGCAAATTGAAGCACTAAAGTAAATGAGATTTGGTCGCGAAAACAAGCATGGATGAAGGACAAAACTACGTTGTGCCTATTATTTCAAGCGGTTGATGAGTCAAATTTTAAAAGACAGCAACTGTGACAAAGAAGCATGGGACACTTTGAAAATGTTTTCAGGGGGCTGATCGAGTAAAACATGTACGACTCTAACCAGTATGCGATGAAGATGAAGGAATAGGAAGGCATATCTGACTACATCACAAAGGAAGGTTTTATTATTATGATGCTATACTACACTATAATATATTGTGCTATGTCATGTTATGCTATGTTGTAGTATGTCATGTTTATAAGCTATGCTATAGTGTTATTATGTCATGTTGTAGTGGAATTATGTTAATGCTATTGATAACCTATAATGCGTGAACGTTCATACACTATGCCATGTAAGCAGTGTTAATACGAAAGATTTGACAGGGATTATGTATAGATGATTTATAGGCTTGTTGTGTTGTTATTAAATGGAGGTTTGACTTGCATCATAAAATTATGTCATGATTTTAAGCTAGGGTGATCTCATGCATTTTGTTTATCATATGCATCGGCTGCTTCTCCATTATGATTAGTATGGATGCATACCTTATAACATTTATGTTCACCATGATGTTATGTAGGTCCTTTCCCTTTGTGGTGTCGAGTAGCACCAACATGTGCTAGGCCGATGAGCCAAACTTAGGGGGTACGCCACTTGGTGGGTCCATATGCGCGTGCGTGGACTGTGTGTATGGAAGTATTACATATCAACCCTGACGGAACTAGAAAGCAACCTAAGGCCATGTCATGATGTTTTTATAAAAGGATAGGTTCCTCCATATCGCGTGTTTGCATTTTCTAACTCTGGTCTTATGTTACTTATTCAATATTTCTTAAAATACTCAAGTCACGTGCTGCTCTTATATTTTTTAGGTAAAACTAAGACACCTCTATACGGATGAAGATGTTCTAATGAAGGCCATAAAACCAGAGTTAGAGTAATCGCATTCATGTCTATTTGGTCGTCCTCAAGTTAGATTAGGACTAGTCTTCTTTTATTTAAATTCATGTCATTTATATTTCGCCTTTCTTCTTTCATAACAATTTCACTTATCTTTAAAGAAGTTATTAGGAATGTTATCCATGGAACCTTTTATGAAATATTTTAAATGAATGTTTCTTGCACGTATTAGTTATGTCATGCATAGAGTGACAACCTTCTTTTTAATAGAAAATTAGAGATGTAACAGTTGGTATTAAAACTTAAGAATTATGTAGACTAGCCTAAAATGAAGACTCAATATGTTTCCATAGCCTTACAATAGGTGCTTTGTCACCATTAGGTATGCCTTAAGAAAAAAATAAATGATATTACTACGTTATATCATGACTTACTATGCATGGGATTTGAAAGCTACGTGATGTATTGATGAACATGTTTAGATTTAGCAAAATTTGTACTGTGATTATGAAGTTAATAGTCTCACGAAAAGAAGTTAGTAGGCTACTTAGTACTAGTCTACTCATAAATACATCACGTAGTATTCACATCCCATGCACAAAAAAAAAAAATGCCTCGACCCAAAATAGTTTATTATCGACGGACTTAATGTCTTATCCATGCATATAGATGCATATTGGCTATGATTTTATTATATATCTTTTCTTTACGTAGAAAGTTCAGCTTGTTGTATTGATTACGTTGCACTTGAAGGAAGTTATAGGCTACCTCCGTAAAGAAGGGGACAACGGATTAGGTTGTTAAACTATATGGGGATTTTTAAATTGATTTTCATTGTCTGCTTAATGAACTAAAGCTAGAAAGCTTAAGTAACTTAATAGGGATATTAAGTAACAACAAAAACTCTAGGTACGTTGAAAAACGATTACGAGGGAAAATCAACTAGCATAATAGTTATCATAGCAAAATTGGGGTGTGTAGCGTGTGTGATGAAAATCAGCATCCTTGGTGACTCTAGAGAGAGCTAAGACTAAACGGTTAACTATGCATGTGTAATCTCTTGCTTGAACAAAATGCACCATAATGAGTTAAGAAATTTATATAAACTCTTAGTAGAATCAATAATTTCCCTACTAGTTATTTGTGATTGTGTATACTTGCTCATAGTGTGAAGAAACTAACCAAAATTTTAACCATATCACAAACACGGTCAAGTTTTTGCGCGATGGTGGGAGAATTTAATTGAATTTTCTTTTTCTCAATTTCTTTTGTAAAACTACACCTTAGGTACAAGAGTAAAACACAAATGCAAAACATGGAGTAGTAGTTTAGAAGTGCATGAATGATAGTACAGGTTCGGAATTACTACTCAATCTTGAAATTTAAAGAACGTTAAGGTAGACACTAAAGAACAACGAACGCAAGCTACAAACGCTCAACAGAAATGCATGGTTGAACACACAATTGATTCCTGGTATAGTTTGGCAAATTTGTTTTGACAAAGTATTTCCACCCATCAAGGTTTAGAAAAGAAGTAATTTATTTTAAGCCGTTTGAGAAAATTTGTTAAGTGAGGCTGTCATCATGAAATACTGCATTGTATCCAAATGGAATTTTTTTTATGACTAAAAATTACTACAAAACAAGTGGCGGATGCTTCTACAAAGGGGCTATCTTGTCAAATACTAGTATCTAACAACTATCAATGGCTAGATGTGAGAGTAATCCAGAAAAGAAGAACATATGAATAAAAGATATCAATGTTTTAACATCTATCAATGTTCATTTAGCCTCGGTGGCTAATGTTTTACAGACTTTAGCATTCGGACAAGGATCAATAAATAAAGCATGAGTACAAGTAGTAGCTATGGTAAGTAAAACAGTAATTGAGTCGTATGTACAAGTAGTAGCTATTGGAGAATAGCACACTGTTAACTATTGTCCCAACCATCCAATCTCAGTTTTTTATGTGGGAAACCAAGCTTATCAAAGCAACCAGAGGAATAATCCATCTTCAAATACTTGCAACCTAAAGTGGAGGAATATCGTCTATTTATAGGAAAAGATCTGTAGAAATATACATGTAGATATTTCGAGAAAAGATCTAGTAGATACTTTGTAAATGTAAAGATTTAGTAGAGATACATTTGATAGATTATATTCGGTAGAAATCTGTTAAAACTATATTTAGTAAACGGAAACCATAACTATACCTTATTAGATAATGCTTTCAAAATATTCTGGTATTCGTGTACATACTTGAAATCATCAATAAAACCTTTAGTCAATATTCCTCCTTGAATTTTTTCTTTTGTTCTTTGTGTTCATCTTGATCGAGTGTGTGCGTTGTTGAGCGATCTTGACAACTGGTATCAGAATAAGGCGAAATTCACCAAGATCTATGAAGTTGGAAAGTTCAAAAGATTAAAATTGAAAAGTTTGATGGATCTGATTTCAGTTTCTGGAAGATGCAGATTGAAGATTATCTGTACCAGAAATATCTTCACGAACCCCAGTTGGGGGTGAAGCCGGATACCATGATCATCTCTAGTTGGGCTGAAGCCTATTAAAATAAAACTCGCTCTAATACCAATTTGTTAAAAATAACACTCACGAATCTGTGAATTAATCACACACTCACTAACAATCAAACGCTCCGATACTGCTTTGTGAAAGTACCACTCGCGTACTTGTGAAGGAGATGTCGAGAGGGGAGAGACCTGAAGAGAAAGAATACTAAAAAAAAAACTTTTTCTATTGCACTGTACTTCTTTAACTCACTATTTTTCTTTTCTCTTGCACTCTTTGCTCTTGCTCTGTTTGCTCTTGCTCCTCTTCTTGCTCTTGCTCTTCTTTTACAATGAAAAACAAACTCATTTATAAGGCTTTCTAGAAGTTAAATATGGTCATCAGAATGGCACCATTTTCTAACCCATAAACCCACTAAATTTTAAAACTCACTCGAATTAACCCACTCAAGTTAACTAAATACTATCTTAATTTATTTTAAGCAAAAACTAATCTTCATAATTTAAGTTTATTCCAACAAAGCCAATTTCGGTTTCTATAGTTAGTTTCACAAAAACTGCCAAAGAATTGAAGAAAGTGCGGTTGGAAATGGTCCATACAAACGTTTGTGGACCATCTCCACTTTCAACACTTGGTGGTGGATCAAAGTTCTACGTCCCCTTCATTGATGATTTCAACAGGAAGGTATGAATTTATTTCCTGAAACACAAGTCAGATGTGTTTGCCACCTTCAAGAAGTGGAACACTGAAGTTGAAAATCAAACCTGCTTGAAGATCAAATGCTTAGGTCTGACAATGGAGGAGAGTACGACAAGTCAAAATTCAAAGAATTTTGTGTAGCTGAGGGAACTCGATTAATGAGAATAGTTCCTAGTAAAGCAAGACAAAATGATGTTGCAGAAAAGATGAACAGAACATTGAATGAGCAGGCCAAGAGTACGAGGATTCATTCTGAATTGCCAAAGACATTTTGGGTCGATGTTGTAAATACAACAGTCTACTTGATCAATAGAGGGTCGTCAATACCCTTGGAGTTCAAGTTGCAAGAGGAAGTATAGACAGGAAAAGAACTCAAGTACTTTCACTTGAGAACTTTTGGATGTACTGCGTATGTTTGTGTTGATCCGGAGAAGAGTGACAAGTTTGACGTTGAGCCTGTAAAGTGTTATCTCATAGGCTATGATTCTGATATGTTCAAGTACAAGTTTTGGGATGACAAGAACAGAAAAGTCCTGAGACATTGTGACGTGACTTTTGATGTAAATGTCTTGTACAAGGACAAATAGAAGAAAGGTTCCGGGATAATGAAGCAAGTGGGAGTTGAGATTGAGTTGCTGAACAATTCCAGAGTGATGTTGTTGTAGATACTTAAGAAAATTTTGAGACTTTCGCTGAGGAACCAGAGGTGGAGCAAGTGATACCTGAGCAGGTGTTGAAAAGATCATCTAGAGCTATCAAAGTACCAGATAGGTATGTCCCTTCATTCCATTATCTGTTGCTGACTAATGAAGGGGAATTAGAGCCCTTTGATGAGACCCTACTACTGGAGAATACAACCAAGTGGGAACAAGCCATGGATGATGGGACGTCTAAGCTTTAGAAATGCATTGCATTTTCACCTATTGAGGCTAAGTACGTGGCAATAATTGAAGCTGGAAAATAGATGATATGGATGACAGACTATCTAGAAGAATTGGGCAAGAAGCAGCACATGAATGTTCTTTATACATATATTTAGAGTGTCATACAGTTGATGAAGAACTCGGTCTATCATTCAAAGAAAAAACACAGAAGAGGATACCATTTCAGTCGCAGGTTAGTAGAAGATGGTGATGTGTTTGGAAGAGATAGAGGGCGCAAAGAATCCAGCAAACTTGTTGACAAAATATGTTGATGTTGGAACATTGAGGTTGTACAAATCCTCAATTGGTGTGATGTGGTGAAGATTGAAAATGAAATTTTTGGTTGAGTGTACCACGGAAATTGTTTGAGATACGAAGATTGATGCCTATTTATGGTAAAAAAATTCGTTTAGAAATATATATAGTGGATATTTGTAAAGAGAGATATATATGGGAGATATTTCCGTAAATATTTGGTAGGGATATATTTAGTATTCTATTTATTAGAAATATGTTAAAACTATATTCACTAAACTTATCCAGTATTCTATTTATTAGAAATATGTTAAAACTATATTCACTAAACTAAACCATTTATATATCTCATTAGCCATCGCTTTAAAAATGTCCTTTCTTCTATTTTTTTAATTCTCTCTTGCTCTACATGCTTGAACTTGAAGTTATCAATTAAATCTTTAGCAAATATTTTTCATTGAATTTTCTCTCAGGTTCTTGTGTTCATCTTGATCAATTGTGTGAGTATTCCTTGAATTTTCTCTCCTGTCCTTGTGTTCATCTTGATCTTGATCAAGTGTGTGAGTTGTTGAGTGATCTAACAGAGAAATCATCCAAGAATGAACAAAGCATGTACAATCAGCAAATACTACCCGAGGTGAATTATCCCCTTGATTTTTTTACTTCAAAATCAAATGATTTATGGATCCCAACAAGCTAATATCCAAGGGAGAAGAACCAGCCAAGATCAATAGATTCTGAAAACATCTCTCAAAAGTCTAACAAAAGAATGCATGGCTAGGAATTATAGTATGATATAGAGTCAGCAAGCCTCCTTAAGAAATTTAGAATTTCAAATAGACCCCATAAGAAGCTACAAACGGACACCAAAAACTCTCAATCAAGAGTTAGTAGAATAAGTTACTAACTTATAGAGTAAGCTTAGGAGAATTGTTAGCAGACTTAGTAGAATAAGTTACTAACTTATGAAGCAACTATAGAATAAGTAACTATAGAAGAAGCAACTATAGAAGAATTGGGAGTAGTTGTCAAATGATAGACCAAATTTTGTGTTTTAATTAGAAATATTGTTAGTAGTTCTTTGGTTGAGGAGAAAGTTTAGGAAGGTAGTTAGTGATTTATCCACTATAAATCTTAATGAGATGTACGCTCATTTCACAACAACACTGAGAATTGAAAAGCTAAACGCTTAAGATTTCTTTGCTCCAAAAGATATCTCCCGTCAAGTTGTTTCTTTGCTTCTTATAGTTGTTTCGACATATTTCGATCAAGAGTCATCTCCAACTTCAGAAAAAGAAGAAGATGTTTAGCAAAACGAAAAAAACTAAAAGAAAAAGAAGTGAAGAGTCTAAAGTGTCTTCAATCAAATCAGCAAGCACAGAGAAAGGAGGAAATCTATTTCAAGAAATTCATGAATATCTTGAAGGAGATTCACATTAATATTCTTTTAGTAGAGACATTAAAACAAACGTCCAACTCGGTCAAGTTTTTAAAGAACACCCTCGCTAATAGAAAAAAGTTCTAAGAATTCAAGATAGTGTCGTAATTTTTTAGAATAATATCACATCAAAGGAAAAATACCTTAGCTCATTAACTATTCCAGCAGCAATTGAAGGAAATGAGTTGGCAGAGCTTTGTGTGATTTGGGAGTGAGCATTAACCTAACGTCGTTGTCCTTCTTCAAAAAGCTATGCATTGAGGAAGCTAGACAACGCTTCAATTAGTAGATCATTTGATCACTCATCCTATAGAATTGAAGACATTTTATTCTTAGACAAATATATTTTTCATGTACTTTGTCCTGTTGGATTATGAAGCAGAAGTAATGTACCAATCATTTTGGAAAGATCGTTCTTAAAAATAGGTAGGACAGATGTTCACAACAAAATTATAATGCTTAGAATGGGTGATCAACCAATAAAATTTAATATCAATCCAATTGAAATATCCAATAAAGAGAGAGGAATGTTTAGCAATCTCTAAATGAACAGAAAACCTAGTTGAATAGGAGACTTACAATGGCCCTTTAGCCAACAATCCAATAATCCCTTTCATGTATAATTGAGCTCACTTATCTACGGAATAAGTTTACTGGGATGCAGTGGGTAGAGTTAGTCAATTTGTCTATGATGACCTATATGACAGTGAATGTTTTCTTTGTCTTTGACAGCCTTAAGATGAAATCTATAGTGACATCTTCTCACTTCCATTGAAAAACACTCGAGGGTTGTAGTAGTCCTCAAGATCACTGCCTTAATGTGCGAGCAGGTCAAACATTGACTTGCCTATTCTGCAATGACCCATTTCATTTCTTACCATGAATAGTAGGACTTCAAGACTTGTAAACTCAGACTTTCTAATCTGTTTTAATCCCTAAAACTATGAAAATTTGTCTTAATTAACAATCTAATTAGTGAATTATTAGGTTTTGACATGACTAAGCTAGAAACATAAACAATTGAAGTTTGAAGTGATAATGTTATTGAATACTGAACTTGACTTTTATAGCCTTACAAATAACCCTACATAGGAACTAACCTATCAATCTTGGAAACGGAAACAAATAGGAAAAATATTTAAACCAAATCCCTACAGATATTCATAACTCTTTTTAACCTAATCAAATTCTTCTAAAAATTCCTCCCTTGAACTTATTCTTCTTTGTCAAGAATTAGTTCAAGTCAGAAAAACTCTCCACACACCAAGTTCTTCACGCAACTTCCGAAAGGCTTTCTTATGTGTTTGGAACGTCCATGTAGAACTGAATTTTTTGATAGTTTAATAGTTGAAGTATTACACACAATAGCTTTATTCTTTCTATTTGAGCGTGACCAATCTCTTTGAGTATCCTCCTCATCCAAGCATCTTGACATGCACAGGCACTAGTAGCAACAAACTCAGCTTCTGTGGTTGATAAGGTGATTATAGGCTGCTTACGAGAAGACCAAGCTACTGCTCCTCCACTCATCATAAACACATAGCCCGAAGTACTCTTGCTATCTTCCATGTCTTCGGTATAGTCACTACCAGTCAATCCATTTAAATCACTAACTTCTCATTTTCTATAAAATACACCATAATCTACCGTACCTTTCAAATACCTTAAAACCCTTTTAGCTGCTGCAAAATCTGTGTTGGATATTGTTAAGAATATTTAGTAATAAATTATAGTTTATCATATATATTATATTTGATATTTTATTATAAGTCAAATATCTAATATTTGTCTTATTACTATAGGTATCTTTCCATTGATTGTTATTTCCATTTATTACTATTTCCATATTCTTGTAATTTATTTGATTATAAATAAGATAACTTTCATATCATTTAGATGTGTGGATTAATCAAACATTCTTATGGTATCAGAGCCCTCACGGTTTAACAACCCCGATCCTTTCTTTTGCAACGGCTTTTGAATCCTCTAATCTTCTTCTCCACCACCTTTGTTGGCTTTGACGCCGCAGGGGCAGTCTTCATGGTTGTCGTAGGCAGAGCCGATTGATTACTCTTCGGCTCCACCCTATTGACCTCCAAATCACCTTTCGTCATACTCTGTACATACAACCTCACATTTTCCAACTCAATTGGTTTTCCCCGGGCCAATATAGTCTCTCTTATTTTCTTCCCAATCAACCTTTCATCCTTCACAGAAACCCTAATCTCAAGATCCTTTTCTCTTAAGAAATATACGGAATCTCAACAAGCCTATCAACCTTTTGCAGAGATTTACCTTCGGAATCTAGGTGCCGCACTGGCCTCTTCGCCAACCAAGTTGTCGCCGCCCTTCCTGCCAAAATTGCCTCCTTCGCCCAATGTGGCGACTCTTCCGACGACCCTTCTCGCCAAAATTGTCTCCTTTGCCCAATGTGGCGACTCTTTTAGCTTCAACATTGTCTTTGTCCATTGCTCTAGGTTTCCCCTTCTACTTCTTGGGGTTAGACATATTCTCACCAGAGCCAAGGCAGCATCGTCGCTAAGCGACACAATCCCTCTTCATGGGTTAGACATATTCTCACCGAAGCCAAGGCAGCATCGCCGCTGAGCGGCGATCCCTCTACAATTTCCGATGGCCAAGAAAGCGCCTCCTTTGAAACAGGTTGACATCTTCACGAAAAGTGTTTCTCAACCTCTTTGAATTTTTCAGATTCAAGTTTCACGTTCGTTTAAATCCGACGCTTAGCTTTCGGTGGGGTGTTAAGGATATTTAGTAGTAAATTATAGTTTACCATATATATTATATTTGATATTTTATTATAAGTCAAATATCTAATATTTGTCTTATTACTCTAGGTATCTTTCCATCTATTGTTTTTTCCATTTATTACTATTTCCATATCCTTGTAATTTATTTGATTATAAATAAGATAACTTTCTCATCATTTAGGTGTGGTGGATTAATCAAACATTCTTAGATATGCCATAAAACGACTAATCAAACTTACAACAAACATGAGATCAAGACGAGTAGCGGTGAGATACATCAAACTTCTCACTATTTGTTTATACAAAGTTACATATACTTTTGCACCATTTTCATCTTTGTCAATTTTCTATCTTGGAACAATGGGATTACAAACAGAATTATAATTCTCTATGCCAAATCGATTTAAAATTTCAGCAGCATACTTTCTTTGACATATGAAAAACCATCTAATCTTTGTATTACCATACAGGTGGATGTCGATTTCTCCCCTCCCTTATTGTCAAATTTGGTGCAACAGTTACTGGAAAATTGTTTTTAGCAACTGGTTCAATTGTTTCAGCAACTAATTCAGTTGTTTCTTCTGTGATTTTTCCTTCTTCGTTTTCAGCAACTGGTTCAATTATTTCAGCAACTGGTTCAATTGTTTCAGCAACCGGTTTAGTCGTTTCCTCTATAATTCCTCCTCCTTCGGCTGTGTTCTTATCAATGTTTTCCCTCGGTCTAATTTTTCCATTGCTCTCCAATTACCCATTTTTTGAAATGGAGTCCGATGTTGCTTGCCTTTCATACATGCCTCACAGGTGGTGTTTGGAGCCCCAATTTGTGGTAGGCTTTTCGCCATGTTTTTGTGTTTCAAGGTGCACAAGCCCCTTGTAGCCAAGATGACCATATCAATGGTGTCAAAGTGTTGACTAATTCATAGTTGAAACTTGGAGGCATCTTTCTTCATTTGTTGTGGTAGATGGTTGAGTACCCAAAATAAACTGCGGATTTGCGCTCATAATTGACTATGCTATCTTTCGTTTTTGTGGATGATAAATGCTACATACATTAACTTTAAACATCACTACTCATTTTTTCTTGTAGTTGTCTAACGCTCAAGAGATTATTTTTTAGTTCAAGTACCCAATACACATTACTAATAGTGCAACGAACCCCATGCGAAGTTAATTTCACTACACCCTTTCCCATAACTTTAATACTTGTATTATTTCCAAGTTTGACAATGTGGGAAAATGTCTTGTCTAAGCTTGAAAACATACCTTCACTTGCACACATGGTTTGAGCAACTAGAATCTAAGAACCAAGCATCACTCCTTTTTGCTTCATGTCTTTCCATACGAGCCATTAACAACATTTCATCCTCTTCTTCCAGCTCTGCATAATTCAATTCTTTATTCATCTTTGGACCTTCTTATTGAAAATGACCTAACTCATGACACCTATAACATTTAACCGTTGCTTTGTTGAAAGTTGATCTTCCTCTTTCGCGTCCTCTGCCCTCTTCCTCCATTACTTATTTCCATTTGTCCTTCGACTTTTAGAACTTGCTCCTCTCCATTAATGCCGGATCTTCGAAATTTTTGTTCATGTACCACTAATGAACTTTGTCATTCATCAATGAACATGTTATCAGTATCTTTGGATTTCTCAATGGATACTACAACATAAGTAAATTTCAATTTTTCATCCGCTCACTCCAATGATCATAGTGACCATCAAAGTGAGGGATCTTCGTTAAAACTTTGTCTTCACTCATACTCTCTCTATTT